TCAGTGCCATCACTCCTTGACCCAAGCTGCCACTCCCGGGGCAGAGGGGGAATTGACCCACTCACCTGGCTGGGCCCAGGCATGGCTCTACCCAGGCATGTGGGTCCTGCTGATCCTACCTCCTGGACTACATCCTGGCCCCTCTCCATATGCATCCCACCACTTCCAATCGCAGAGCCTCTAACAGTCCAAACCAGTCTGGGGGGAGCTAGCCCCCCCAGACTGAGATTGACCATTAGGGGCTCCCTGATTGACTGGTTAATTGTGCTCAACCGGTTGGCGGTCACTAGCTTAACAGCTGTTGAGCCAGTGATCTATCCACCTCGCGGTAGTTTTATCTAGCCCACATTTCTCCAATTTGTTTATGAGAAGGTCATGCAGGACTCTGTCAAAAGCCTTGCTGAATTCCAGATGCACTATATCTACAGCATTCCCTTCATCCACCCAAGTAGTTACTTTGTCAAAGAAGGAGATCAAGTTAGCTTGCCACTTCATTTTTAATAAATCCATTTTGGCTGCTTCCGATCAGGCTTTCCTCCTCCAGACCCAACAAAATCCCTCTGACCATCTCTTTTGTTAGCTCATCCCTCAGCTTTTCTGGCAAACATACTTATAAAACCTCTTCTTGTTATCCTTAACTTCTTTTGCCAGGTACAGCTCATTCTTTTTCTTTGACTTCCTGATTTTTGTTCCCACAGGCTGTTATTTTCTGGTATGCTTCCTTCATGACCTGCCCATTCTTTCATTGCCTGTATGCTTTCTTTTTCATTTGAGGCATTTTAGAAGCTCTTCATGCAGCCACATTGATCTTTTGCCATTCTTACTCTGCTTCCATCATGTTGGGACAGTTTCTTCTTGGGCTTCTAATACTATGGCCTTTAAAAGCTCCCAGCCCTCCTGGGCATCTTCATCCTTCAGTTGATCTTCCCACGACACGATGCCTATTGACTCCTTGAGTTGGATAAAATCCCCCTTTTTTGCAATCTAGTATCCTAATTCTGCTGACAACATGGTTTCCCCATGTCAAGATGACCTGGAATTCTATTGCATTCTGATCGCTTCCTCCCAAGTAACTTGTCACACCAACAGAGTTGAGTAATCCCATTCAATTTAGCCTGATTATTCACATTCCTTAAAAGTATCTTTCTAAACTGGGATCAAAAGGAGAAAGCACACTTCCTTCCTTTTCCCCTTTTATGTAAATTTAATATACTCATTTAAACTGAAAAAAAAGATTACAAGAAGGCTCATCAATTAAAGCTTAGGGTAGTACAGAAAGAGAAAAATCCACTGTTGCCTACAAAGGCACCAGAAATTGAAAATGGAATAAAATAGAATCTGAAGTAAGGAAGGTTTAAGAAGGTGTCAGGATGTTTTGTCCATTGTTCAATCAAACCCCTTCCAGAAATTATGCTTATATCTTTGCTCAGAGTAGTAAAGGGATGGATGCAAATCAACAGACAATCCCAAATGCAATTTGAATAGTGTACCAAGTGCTGGCAGCAATGTGCAAAATTGTTTTTAAAAAGTCAGTTAATTAAGCCATTGAATAATAGACCTTGTGTGTTCATGTAACTTAATAACATTTTCATTTAAAATATTTTATTAAGCATCCTTTGTGTTCATTTGCATTCTAGGACTTCAAAGAAAATGACAATGGCAATGTTCTCTCTAAATGATTCTTGCCTGTTATGACTTATCGTAGTCTCTCTTTTACTCTCCGCTTACAATAAGGCCAATTTCTATGAAGGTAATAAAAAGAAGTGATATGGGACTTACTCTCATCCTCTTGAGATATTTCTTCTCCCCAGACAAGAACATTGAGACTTCAGAAAATGCAACTCTCTGCTCATTTTTATGTGGTGACTACTATCATAGTCATTTTAATGCAATCACATTATTTACCATCTGTTCTTTATTTAGCCAAAATAGATTTTCTACATAGTTCATTTGGACACTTGAGACAAATAAGCTATTTATTCTTGTCAGTTTAATGTTTCAGCTACTAGAATTTTAAAAAGAAAGACTTTTTCCCAAGAAAATGTGTTCTCAGATATTCTCTGATGTAATATATTTTTGAATAATGGTATCTTACTTTATTGTCCACCTTTAAAAAGGGAATTACTTATGTTCCACATTCTTTTTCAGGGTCTTAGATCATAATGCCTAGAGCTATAGACATTCAATACTGTTTTTCCAAATTAACTCTGACAAACACTTTTTCCAGTTGACAAGTATCCTAGATATGCTAATATTAAAAGATAGCCATTAGCTGCCCAGAAAGAAAAATCTGACAATGGACTACCAACAAACTGTGAGAAAATCTTTTCATAAAACCATTTGCAAGACATGGAGAGTGGAAAGAATGGGATACAAATAAAAAGGCTTTAATCTGCAACCATTACATTCCTCCAAGATTTTTCAGAACTCCAAACCTGAAGGGATTCTTATGAAATCACTTAGTCCAAGACTCTGCAGAATCAAGAATTCTTAAAAAGGTAGAAGCAGTTTTATTTGGCCAGCAATCATATATGCCTCTCTATAGTTGTTTTACAAAGCCCAATATGGAACGATCCATTCCCTGAAGAACTTAAAGTCTAAATACAGCTAACAGGATGAAGGACATGGAACAATGGTTAGAAGTGGCAGCAAAGTAAATTTAGATTGGATATACGGAAAAACTTCTTCACTGTTAGATGGCAGTGAGATAGCCTGGCTTGGGAAGTTGTGGACTCTTCATCACTGGAGATGTTCAAGAAGAGGTTGGACAGCCACTGGTTGGGGACAATCTAGTCATAACTATGTCTGTGTTCTACCACAGGTATTTCCCATGATTCTATGCTT